AAACTTTTCATTTTATTGCGAGTTTGTTCCGATTTTGTTTGAACTTTTTATAAAGACGATTTTGCCCCTGATTATTTAATATTTTAATTTTCTTTTATTACAACAATTAAAAAAAATAAAAAATAAAAGAAAAAAGAAAATACTGTCTCCCTCTCCCTCTCCCTCTCCATCTCCCTCTCTCTAATAAACCAATACAATCAACACATATCCTTGTTCTTCCCTTCTGCATTCGTTCCCAGCCAAGAACACAAGAGCATTCTTGTTCTTTTCATGTATACCTACAAATGAGAAATACAACCACTTGTTATCGCTTTATCTTCTTTCTATGGCAATTTCGAGCAACCAAAATACAAACCTAAACCTAGTGATTTACAGCCCATTGATTCTGTCAAGCAAAACAAACATACACCCATCGATTTCCTGTAAAAGATTAACCTTACTCATCCATTCCATTTATCCATTTATATAAGAATCAATCAACAAACACTCATATTAACCTAAATATATTGACTAAACCCCATGGATATATAGTCAAAGTAAAAAGATGAGAGATGAAAGGAAACTTGTGATTGTTGAGCAAACAAAAACGTCGAACACCCCCCATCGTACCTGCCCTTCTTCTCGTCGAGCTCCACTGCCAAACACACCACCTGCACCGATGTTGCTGCTCTCCTAGCTCGACCGGTTCCCCCTTCCACATCGCACCTTGTTATCAGAACATGAAGAGAGAAGCTTCACTGCCTTCCCTTTTCCTTCTTTTCGGTCCTATCGATCTCTGGAAATGCTTACGATTCATTGTTGATTTTGATATTTAAAAGGTTGTAGAGAGAGGGGATTTGAGAATCAAGATTGCTGGGATTGCTTCGAGCAAAGATGAAGTCGTTTTGGCATCAGAATCTTCTTTCACTAACCTTCTGTCACCCCCAATAAATAAACCCTAGACACACACAGGCAGAGTGCCAATCTCTACAAATTTGGTCTCCGATTTGGCCCTTTCATCCCCGAACGATTGTCGGAAGAGAACGACGGCAGACCACACGCCTCTGGTGTTAGTTCAAAACAGGAAGAGGAATCGAAAACAAGGTTCGTTTGGGGGTCCGGATGAGGTGCCACGAGCAGCAACAATAAAGAAGACGAGGTCGTCGGTGGGTTTTGCTCGACAGAAGAAGACGAAGAAGAAGAAGCGGGTGCGACGGTTGGTTCGAGAGAGAGGTATGAGAGGCGAGGCCAGAAGGAGATTTCCGAGGAGTGTCAATCGATCGCAAGGTGGGATAACCTCTGGTGGTCGCCTGCTTTGTGTGTGTGTGTGTGTGTGTGAGAGAGAGAGAGAGAGAGTGTGTGTATCTTCTTTTTTTTCTTTTCTTTTTAATTCTTTTTAATTATTGTAATAAAAGAAAATTAAAATATTAAATAATCAAGGGCAAAATTGTCTTTATAAAAAAGTTCAAACAAAATCGGACCAAACTCACAACAAAATGAAAAGTTTGAACATCTGGTGTTAGTCCAAACTTTTTTGGACCAAAGTGACAAATTTCAGCTAACCACAGAAGCAATTCGTGCAGTTTTGTCTTAATCATTTATTATTTTTTTTATTTTTATTAATTTTTTCTTAGATTTTTTTTACCAAAACATAATACAAATTAATATATATAAACTTGAAAATTTGATACCTATCCATATTCTTGTAGTGCCGTCTTGGTGAGGTGATCGGCATCGTGTCTTTGTGTTTGAACAATGAGCATGGTTTCATATCGAAGGTCTTTTCAGATTGTGGAAGCTTCAGGGTAAGGGAACAAGATAGCATATGGCCCCTAATTCTTTTATGTTGGAGAACAAGTTAGAGACATGTCGGTTGATCTCAAAAGACATGGACATATGGTCCCTAAACATTTTAGTGTGTGTTACCAACATAACAACTCAACTATTGTTAGATATATTGGGTTTAAACCATAGAGTTATTATCTTTTGTTACAGGTTATATCATTTTTTTTCATGTACGAGAATTTTTTCTAGTCGAATAATTACATTGGATCCAAATGATTCAATTTATGAAACGCTTACCAAAAAATAGAATTGTTTATTTGTATATATTAGGTATGAGATCCGTATAGTACACGAGTTTAATAAAATAAAATATTAATATAAAGGTGTAAAAATTAAGTATTTTTAAAAGGAATATGTTTACATATATAAAAGCAATATAATAAATATGTTAGTAATTTAACTTATATTAATAAAAGAAATTAAACGTGAGACCCGTGGACTAGGAATTGATTAAAAAAAGTTTCTTAATCAAAATGTAGATATTAAACATTGTTTTAAGTAAAAAGTTTGAAATAAATACAAATAAAATGATGAATACATACATAATTATATGATGAATATAAAAAAAAAAATGTTGACATTTTTTATGTATTGGTTATATGACATAAAAAATTAATACGATATATGACATATTTTTATAAGGTAATTTCAATTTAAAAAATGAATGAAAATGAAATTAAATTGATTTGTACATAAACAATGACCAAATGTCATGGTAGACAATAATCTTTTATCTATAAGTAATTTTTTGTGTTTTCGTTTGTCTTTAGGGTCGGTAAAATCCATAGCGTCTTCGAATATGTTAAACAATATTAATTTCTATAACAAAACTATAATGAAAATGCGTTCATTTTTTAATCAATTGACTTAGTAAAATGGAGATGTTACAAACTTAAATGCATAGATATCGAAACATAATATTAATCTATGAAAAAGTTATATTTGCAACTTTTTTATTTGAAATCAATAATGATATTTTAGATGTATGGGATATATTCTCTTTCGTTTCGAATGATTTAGTATCTAGAAATACGGTATGGTATATCATTTCAAGATTATTTGGTGAAATTCAAGAAAGGCTGAAAGGGAAATGAGCCCTTTAAATCTCCAACTGTATCAATTGTATCAAGTAAATTAGATTTGATAAAAGAAGAGCTTCTTGATCACCAGTTAACTGATACACATAAAATTCAAGAAATATCAACCACTTCGATAAGAACTACAACCGTATACTTTCATTTAATAGAATTTGACATTTTTGTTACTTGAATTTGAAGATTTTCTTAGAAATTTGTGTATCCCTTGATCGATTATAACCCATAAAGTTGCACCAACCATTTCCGAATCAAAGTACATTGCTATTTTTTGTGTAAAGCCCTTTAGATATTTTATATTAGATGATACACTTCATACATGATAAAAGACAATTATTATCTTGCCACTCTGCTTGCTGAATACATGCCTGATTATGAGATGAAAATTGATTGTATCCTTATAGGGGTGATAATAAAAATCGGTCCAACATAATACCACAATTGAAGATAATGAAATGTTGTTGAGCATATCTTCAAAATAAATAAATAAATAAATAAAATCAAAAAATCAAAAATCAAAAGCGGTTCATGTTGAAAGTTGTGTTTCCGAAAACACGTAATCTAGAAAACCCAAAACAATCACATTCAAACAACCCCACATAGACTATGAATAGAATAATGTAGACACATAAACCACACAAAACTAAATAAATAAGGTTTTTATTAGTAAAAGTGAATGTAGTAACAGCAAACAACAATAAAACACAAATTAAAAAAACATTCACAGATGTTTATTATCCAATACTTACCCCTAAAAATTGTAGCAGCAAACACAGAATGCAATAGTAACACTATATGCCACTAAAAACAACAATAAACACAGGAGACTACCCTTCCAAACAGAGACATAAACATGAAATCGAAAATACTAAGATAATTGAGATATTAATATAGGAACATAAAGACAATTGAGAAATCAATAGGTTAAACGATGAGGTAATTTTTTGATGTTTAATGTGATATTGGGAGCAATATAACTTGAATCAATTGGTTTATACCTAAATAAATCAAAACTGACACTTCTTATTCCTATAGCAAAACACATTTTTATAATCAAGTTGTAAAATTGGAATCAAGCAACAAAATTTCTTCATTGACCGAATCCTAAAATTAAATACAAAAATCATACAGCACAAAATATTTAACTCAAAATTATCACACTCAACTTTTAATGCTAAATAGTATTTCATATTTAACGTTTTGAACGTCAAGTGCAAAACACATCATTTTCAAGTTTCAAACTTTTCAACAAAGGTGGAACACAAAAAAGGGATTTGCGAAGATTATGTTTTTCAATTGAGAATATTGATGTGAATTTAAATTGACTTTAATACATTAAATGACAAATTACACGACAATTTAAGGAGACATTTAAGTTTCTTTATTTTCTGTATTATATTTTTAGATTAGATTTTAATTTAATAACAAAGCCAAAAAAAAAAAAAAAAATCACAATTTGCCAAGTAGATTTAAATGAAATTGAAAAAATAAAAAAATGTCATGCGGTATATTGAATTAAATGATAGACAAAACTTCAAAAATGGTCCCTGTGGTTTTCGAAAATATCAAGTTTAGTCTCTAAGTTTAAAAAACATCACAGATGGTCCCTGTGGTTTCAAAACTTTTAACAAATAGTCCTTTTCGTTAACTCCGTTAGCTTTTGGCGGTTAAGTAAGGGGTATTTTTGTCATTTCACTACTCAGGGACCATTTATGAGGTTTTTTATTACTTTTTTAAAATAAATAAATAAATAAATAAATTTAATTTGCAGGTCTATTTGTGTCCATCGTGTTCATCTATGAACAACTGAACATACAATCGAAATCGATTTGTTTAAATCTAGGAATCAAAACTCGGTGTATCGGGTTTTTGGTTTGTACATGAGTGAAGAATCTGAGAACTCATCCGGTGAAGCTGATTCGGGTGAATCCATATTCATTCCGATGATGCTCCAAATTCGATGGATTTTCTCTAGTAAATCCATCTTCATTCCAAGGAAGCTGATATATTTTAGCAGTTTAAGAAAAGAAAAAAGAAACATGAAGAAACAGACGGAAACTGATAACTGATTTCCATCTTCTGCAACTCATTTTTTTCTCCCCTGAATCCCAATTTGGAAGATGGTTCCTGGTCCAACTCCGACAGCCATTTTTTCTGGCCAGCAACTCGCAGGAAAAGAAGAGAGAAAGGTTTGGTGTCTGATCTCTACTACAGATCTCATCGGATGAGATGAATAAACCTAATTCCTTATTGGGTTCTTCTCGTAGGACTTCAAATCGGAAAACTCATCAGCCAATAAGTTGTTTTGAATATAGGGGAAAAAAACCCAACAGGAAATGTCAATTTAGCGTATCTTTGTTTGGGTTTCAAGTGATCTGGCTGAAAGATGCAGATGATATGGATGAAGGTTAAGATGATTTAGTGTTTGTATGTGTGCTGTTTTTAGTGGATCCCAAAGAAGACGAAGATGCATATGTTCTCCAAAAACAATGGTGTATAGAGAGAGAGAGAGAGAGAGATGTATATGTGCTGTTTTTTGTGGATCCCAAAGAAGACGAAGATGCATATGTTCTCCAAAAACGAGAGAGAGAGAGAGAGAGAGAGAGAGAGAGAGAGGTGGGGGCCTTTAATATTAAATAATTATATATTTTTTTTTTTTTAAATATGGCAAACTTCATAAATGGTCCTTGTGGTTGTGAAATGACTGAAATGTCCTTCACTTAACGGTTAAATGTTAACGGTGTTAGCGAAAAGGACCATTTGTTAAAAGTTTTGAAACCACATGGACCACCTGTGAAACTTTTTGAACTTAGGGACTAAACTTGATATTTTCAAAAACCACAGGGACCATTTTTGAAGTTTTGTCTAAATGATAACATCTGCCAGAAAACTTATATATATATATATATATATATATATATATATATATATATATATATATATATATATATATATGGGAAAAGTGAATATACCCTTAAGGGTATATAAGTTTAGCTACCCAAACTCACCATACTATGTCGTTTTGTATCATATAATACATTATAATTGTCCAATGTTATTATAATTTAATTTCTAAGTTGATTTACTTCCATGATTTTTATAAATTACACATTTATCTTCGTCTTACTTAATTTTCATTTTCAACTACAATAAATATAATTTAATAAGTGTTCGACACAAAGATGTGACATAAGAGAAAGATAATAGTGAAATTTCGAAAATTTTGAAATTAAATCAAGTTAAGGGTTGAAGTTTAAGAACATTATAATGAATATATCAAACAAAACGATGTATTATGGTGTGTTTGGGTATCTAAGCTTATATAAGCACATTGGACAATTAGAACGTATTATATGATACAATTAGAACGTATTATATGATACAAAACGATGTAGTATAGTAAGTTTGGCTACCTAAGCTTATCTACTCTTAAGGGTATATTCACTTTTCCATATATATATATATATATATATATATATATATATATATATATATATATATATATATATATATATATATATATAAATGAGAGGTAGGTTCATATGCTAATGAACAATTATGGTGTTGACGTAGGGACAAATAAAAATCCAAAAAATATAAATCATTTTCTTAAATAGAAAAAGGTAGTTTGGTATTTTAATTTGAGGAATAAATTACTTCTATAATTAATCCCCTATAATCATGTTAATTAATTGACTTATACTAACCCTAGAATTCCCTCGTTATATCTAAACTGCCGCTTCTCTGGTTCCAAAAAAAATAATAATAATAATAATAAATTAATAACTAAACTGTCGTTTCTCTTCCTTTCATCACCATCGCACACGCACTACACACCCCTACTAGCCAACACCATTTTCAATCATCAACCAGACCGTTGTTGGCT